AAACCAAGGGTGGTAAGCTATCCAATGAGCTACAAAAATCCTGTCCGCAGTCGTGCTACACAGCAGTTTTAACCCCAAGCGACATACGTACATCACTGCGCGCCATCAACAAAAAGCAGTTCCATCCTGCCTCCCCCCCAACCCCAGGCCTGCAATCCTCCTCCCTACCGACGCCTTCCTCAGCGCGCTCTCTTGCGGTGTTGTCCTTCTACAATGCTACAGCAGTATCGATCTTCCACAACAGCGGATCACGTGCGATACATCTCAACGCGGCACGGAGGGTATGATCCAGTCTACTGTAGACTTGTGGTCCAATCTTCTACTCGGCTTCCTTCCTCGCCCTGCTGTGCGTCACCTACAGTACGTTTACTGCCACGAGAACGATGAACAAGCACCGGAGGAACCGGGGGCGGGGGAGAGGAAGAGGTTAACTGCCACGCAACATTTCTGCCTGAGGTTGAGTGCAACTCTACAGCAGTACGTAGGTGCGGAGGGAGGGCCTGGTGCACAGGACCAACAGATTACGAACGAGAGGCACCCCCATGCTGTTGCACCGTTGCAATGTCGCTACTGCTGTAGGATTGATTGTGCAGGCTCCAACTTTTCCCCGACGGATGGCAAGCCACAATGTTGCTTACCTACATGCCGTCAACGATTCCACTCTGGTATTTCGTCCGCCTGCTGTAGACATATCGTCCGTCTATTGCTGTTGCTAGTTTCGTGAGGGAGAACGGAGTCCTGCTGTCGACATGCTGCAAGAGCAAGAACGCGGTGAAACATGAGTTCAGCGAGCACAAGTTTGCTTAAAACGCCCCCAGCACTGCTGTACGGTTGGCCACATCCAGCGAGTACACCCGGAGGTATAGATGATATAGAGTTTATCTTGCCCTACTCATGGCGCTGCATGCTTTAAATGACACCTGCTGCCTCACGCGTGCCCTTCTTCAGCACCTGCGATCGGCTCCCGCCCCACCGCGCGACCCGCGAAAAAAATCGTATTTCATCCTCGCAATGTCGGCTTCGCCGTAAGGTAGAGTCCGGATCAACAGCCCCCCCAACAACCTACACTTCATCAGATTATCTCAGCAGCTCGCCATGTCCGCTGCTGAGGTAGTGCTTCCTGCTGGAGCGCTCCAAGCTCCTGCTATCCGCTGTCGTGCCCGGTCATCGTGCTCGGTCCTGATTCAACAATCTGCAAACAATCGGTTCGGAGATCACGTGAAAAGCACGGGCGAGCATGGAGACGAACGGCAGGGGAACAGGGTGCGCAAGCTGGTTGTTAGCACACCTGAGCAAGGCGGTTACGTAGATTCTATGAGACAAGCAGATTGCAGTCAGTCTGGAGCGCTCCAAGCTCCTACTATCCGCTGTTGTGCTCGGTCATCGTGCTCGGTCCTGATTCAACAATCTGCAAAAAAATCGGTTCGGAGATCACGTGAAAAGCACGGGCGAGCATGGAGGCGAACGGCAGGGGAACAGGGTGCGTAAGCTGGTTGTCAGCACACCTGAGTAAGGTGGTTGCGTGGATTCTATGAGACCAGCACATTGCAGTCAGTCTATGTGGAATATCTCCTCTCTGCTGGACCCGTGTATCTCTCTAGCGATCCTGCAATCCTGTGCGGTGCTCGCTGGCACTTTTCGCTGGCTTTCGTGATTTGGGTCGCATGTGTTGATCGATTTCAACAATCTACTCACGATGCTGCTACTGGCGCCTTCATCTGGAGACATCAAGGCCCCCAGTCCGACCCACGACGACTCAGGTAGTTGGTTAGGGTGATAGCATGATAGGCTGTTGTGGACAGCAGCATGGCGACCTCTTCGAGGTCTTGATTTGACGGAGTGCAGAAGGAGGCTGCTGCCTTTCAAAACCGGAGATCGCCGTGATCTCCGAAATTGTAATCAGGGAGTTCCAGGATGTGGCTCACGGAAGAGGCTTAGGATTTTTCCATTCACAATTAGATTGTCAGCTCCCCGCTCCAGCAGTTCCCTCTCTCTCTCTCGTGTGGAGAGTGATGGGTGCCCAAGGCGCTACACGCATCATCATGTCTTGGTGTGTCTCGCTTATGCGCCACCTCCTCGCCAACCGGTCGATGCTATCGCGGTTGTCATCGACACACCATATTCTTCCGGGGATTTTTTCATTTTTCCCTATTCTGGGTTTCGTTTGGTAGACGGCCAAGGAGTGAACCGATGCTACGAAATCGGTGGGGGGTATGCGTTCCAACACCACATCCAACTCGGTTTTGGCAAAACCCGAAGATCTTTCGGGTTGACAGCACATGCACGTACATGATGACCGACTGCCGCCCACAAAAAAAGAAAAGAAGCGTTCCCGGAACGAAAAGGCGGGAGCGGAGGTGGCAGCTGGAAAAAATAAAATAAAATGTGTATCGACAACGAACGGGCCCTTCTCTGAGTGGTTCCAACAAAATTATTCAGAGAGCTCCTTGCCAGCTCGGGTTGTGGTGGCCGTTACTTTCCAGCAAGGCCTACGAGGGAGGGGGGGGCAGTTTCAAGTCCGGCACCTCTTCTTGAAGTCACCGTTGTCAAGACAAGTGAAGAGGTGCAGGTAGGTACATTGTGTGATACAACAAAACTGAAGCTGGTACACCCCCCGCCTACCGTGACAGAGACGGGTACAACGTGAAAAAACGAAAATTTATACTGCTGTGAACTTCGAAGCACGAAGTAGGAAAAACTGGAGCACATTTGTACAATTGACGCATGCTTACATATATATTTTACGTGCTTGCCTGCCTTCACTCAAGGATGCAGGAACCTCGACGAAACAAATAAAGAACGCGCCACCACTAAGAACTGCTTTTTTTTTAGCTTGAGGCTCGACGCTTATTGGTTGCCTCCAACCAGCTGCCTCCAACTTGGCACACGTTCGAATTTTTCCAAGTTCCTACAGCAGTAGGTACCCACCTGTGATCAGCGGGGTTATTTCTAAACCGATTGCCCGATGTAGTGGACACAGATTTTCTGGGTGGATTTATGTAAGCACGAGACACTACTACAACTACTGCGGAAAGAGTACAATGTAGCCAGCCGTAAAATCACCCCCTAGATGGCAGTGCCGCATGAATATACCATGTGGGAGAGGAGAGGTTGCCGAGAATAGCCTAGGAGAAGTGGGCAAACAAGAAGGACTGGAGAACTGGTGTACCAACCTATGGAGTGAGTCAATGTTGTAGATGACGCATGAAAGAAAGGGGGTCGAAATCGACGAAGGTGACACACTGGAGAGGGGAGGTCTAGAGGGGTTCAAGGAGAAGACAAATGTTGTTTTTACTTTGAAAGAATTACAGAACCTAAGAAGCCAAGGATAAGGAGGGTCTCCATGGGTACGGAATATTGAAGAGTAATTAATTTACGGATGCAGAGACAAAGCTGAAGGTCAAACTTTGGACTGGGGCTAAGGCCTTTGAGAACGGAGACGAAGATTAAGGAAGGTCGTTGATGAAGACGGCAAATCCAGATGTGAACGCGGCTCCGAGAGCGAAGACCATGATCATGTACTTGCGGAATGTCCGTTGTACAAGGAAGAGAGCGAAATGTACATGACTGAGCTAGCCGGGAAAAAGTAGAAGGAAAAGGTACAGAGAGATGTTTGACGAACGTTATAGCCAGGAGAAGACGGTAGCTGTATTGGGGCATAGGAAACTATTATTTTTATTATTATTATTGCCCTCCGACAATTGAATATGTTAGCACTAAAGTCCTAAAACGTTTCACTCAATGTATACCCCTTACTATTTCTATCTTCATGCTCATACTTGTACGAATACGATATACATGCACGTCATGTAAGTACGTACCTACCAATGCCGAACCTAAAACTGAAGGAAATCATAACATCATTGATTGAATTCAACATTTCCTCCGTTCTCCTGTTACTACTTCCTTTGTGAAAATGCCAAAACCTTGTCTCTCCAAAACTCTGGCAAGAAGTTCCTGTCATTGAACCGAAATCTTGATCATAATCTACTAAAACGACATTCCTTTTAGTATATGTGATGTACCTACCAAATGCTTTGTAACAACTATACCTACGCTAATAATATAATCCATTACATTCCTACTATTACAGTGCACCGACACTACATCCCCAAATCATTGGTGTCGATGTGTTCGGTGTCGATCTTGTTCGTTGGTCCTCCGCTTCTTGTCGTCCACGTAGTGCGAGCTTGTATCTTTGTACCCTCCTTGATATGGCCACCTGCGTAGCCACCGAAACGACCTGAAGTAGCCTCTCCTTGTAGACTCCTTTTTGGGCCATCGTTCCTCCATGCCTCCCTCCTGCAGCGTGCGTCGCTAGTTCGTCGATGAGTTCGTAACCCTCCTCTCCAAGGCGGCCAAAGCTTTCCACCGCTAAGGTGGTAAGTTTATAGCTGCGCTCGTCAAAGGACACGTGTCCTGGCCGAGCGTAGGAAATTCGTTGAAAAGGCCGAAAATGACACCAATGAGGGAAACATTTTTGAGCCACCTTTTTGGCAAAGTAGGAAGGAACGATTGGCCATCAGTGATCGGTCCTGTGGGAACAATGCTCTGTCCTGTCGAGGACGCGCGGTCAATGGTCTTACCGCTGAGTCTTCCAAAACATGAGAGACAGTACGCCCCCTTTGGATCCAACTCCTACAACCGGGAAGAGGCGTGAGTAAGATAAAATAGCAAGTACCATGGTAGACCGTATGCATGTACGATGTGGGAGAGGAGAGGTTGTCGAGAAAAGCCTGGGAGGCGAAGTGCACAAACAAGAAGAAAGCAGGCATCAACCCAGCGTACTCCTAGCTGCCGCAATACGAAGACCTCTGTGGCCCCCCATTCCGATATCGTAGGGGAGATGGTCGAAAATGCGGTCGATGCACAAAAAAAATGTTTCCGCGGTACAAAAGGTTGCGGTCGGCTGCCAGTGTTGGTGCACTTCACCTGCAACAATATCTCCAACGCATGGATGAAGATGAAAGTGCTCGCGAAACGCCTCGCGGATGACATATGCCCATATGGTTATCCTGCATGATAATCTTCACGGAGCGACGTTCGCCAACCCATTCTGATTTGCCAGCATTCTCTTCGGCTGTCTAAACATTAAATAAAAAGGGGACTACTTCACCAACATGTAGGGTACGAAAGAAAGCACGCGCATGCCTACCGCTAGACTCAAGAATTCCGTGCTAGCGCTACCTGTGCCTGTGCCAAAGTACATCACATATCTCTCGTTTACACTTATTTCCTTCACAATACAACGTTGTTGGCTAGGATAAGACGTGCATTTGCAACATGCATCTGGGCCTCTTGAGAAAGTGGACACTAAGCCATACTCTGAAACATGCCTATGCTATGGGGATGGTAGAGGCTCTAAACTGCAGCATCTGCTACCGCAGATATCTGCTGAATATAATGGAAAACATGTTCTGATTCTGTCAACTAGGGAACACCGTGATTTACCCTATCGTAGTACGCTTGAGCCTCTTGAGCTTGAGAGCCGCTTGAGCCTGGTCCGGTGAGAACCCGGCGTGCTCCGTCCCGGCTTTGTAGGGATGCGAGGTCAATGGTCTAACGACTACGGCATGCACGACTATGAGTATGAGTATGAGTAGTACGCTTGATCGGTGTTGACTTCACCGGTTAAGATTCGACTTGAGCTCGCTCGCTTTTGGGATTCCGAACAAAGCAAACACTGGCAAAAAAACGAACAAATCACGAAATAACACAGCACCGTCTAGGGTGGACCCACTAGCGACCTCACGGCCACCCCCCACGTCTATGTCGCGGATCCTGTTCTCAACAGACTCCTGATGAAGGGCGCGAGACCTTCCTTCGGTATTGTGGTTCTACGGACTAATGCCTACCACAAACGCATGCTATTTATTATGTTTACATTTCTAGCGAGAGGCAAAAGATGAAGTGCGCTCATCCAAAACCCTTTTTTTATGTCCCGCCTTGATTGGAACGTGATTCACGATTGATGTTGCGCTATAATCTCCCCCCCACTACGTGTCAGCTTTCACGCCGTCGGCTGTCGGGGGTTCTGCGGCAAGGAAATTATTTCTGGCGCCCAGCACGTTGTGTGGATCCAGCGCCCGCTTCATTCCGAGCACGAGGTCAGTAATGACCGGGGAAGAGACCCTCGAAGCGAAACCTGCACGGAGCAGCGCGGCGCCGGATTGTACACCAATTTGAAGACGTTGGAGAGACATAAAAAGCAGAACGACTCTGGCGCGGGTCGTTCGTTCGAACACAGACGCACAGGTTGTCTGTCCTCCGTGAGCACATGGGCAAGGTTTGTGCGGGAGTAGACGAAGTTGACTGGGACGCATGGCAGGCCCCACAAGCTCCATTGCGGTGCGCACGTGTCCTGTGCGTGTAGGGTTCTCTATACTTCTACGGCGGCGGCGAGGTTCGGAGTGCCTGAAAGCGGTCGCCTTCTGGTTGCAAGGTACACGAGATGAGAACGGGGGGTGACGTCCTGACAGAGTGGGGAAATATCTGGCGGTTACGAGAAATGTCGTCGCTGACGCTTACACACGCAGACGGCTACAAGGACGTTCACCTGCTCTGGATTTGCCAATTCCATGGTGGTGGCTCAGGGAGCCGCCAGCCTGTAGGATCTCATCTCTAGCAGCTTCCTCCAGCCCAGAGAAGACACCAACAGGGTTGCGAATACCCTGTGACGTGTGAGCGAAGGATGCGCCCCCGGAGAAGCACGCATTCGATTGCAACGACCGATGGCAAACGAAGCTGTAGGAAGACAGCACGAAGTCCATCAGCAAATGCAATGGTACACTACACCGAATCGAGAAGACGAGCAGCGAATCCAGGAAAACAAAACAATATGAACAGCCAGCAAAACGTAGATGAACCCCACCAGAACTACAGAACCGGCAAACAGAGACTGAGACAATGCAAAAAACTTGTGCAGAGTAGAAGCAAGCAAACAAATGGAGGACATGTGGCTCTAGGAGACACGCAGAACCCACGCGTACTGTCATGAGATTTTTTCCCGTCACGTTAAATCAGCGCTCACAGCCCATGGCGTTTCTGCCGGGTAGGAGCTATCTCCCATCCGCGGTCACACAGAAGAATTCCTCCCCATGCGGCCCCGTACCCACCCATCCTGAGGGGTTTCCCTCAGATTTTACTAACGCGAAACGAGTGCAGCACTCTCTTCCCTCCAAACGTACGCATCAACTATTACAGCCCTTTCCACAAGCAGGAACGAAAGCGAGAGGACATATCGCTTCGCAACGAAGGATCGGTTACGCCAGGATTCGAGCCCCTGACCCTAGCAGTCACTACAAGGTTGCGAGGATACCAACTAGACTGCTCATCAGCCAAGAGACACAAAGGAAGCCCCATCAAGAACCAGACCTGACGGCAACCGACCTGAGCGTAAATGGCGAGGTAGAAGTACACGCAAGCTCCTTCGGGGTAAAGCTGGGTGACGCGGTGAGTGACGAAGGCGTCGCCCCTCAAGCCTCTGTCTCGGTGTTCTTTTCGCACTCTCTCTCGCACCTGATCGGCGGGAGGGAGGGAGGGAGGGAGGGAGGGAGGGAGGGAAGGAAGGAGGGAAGGAGGGAAGGAGCGACAACGTGCAACAGCGACAAGGTGTGATTGGAATAGAAGAGTTCGAATTATCTGTACTTGATCGACAGTTGGACCCACGGCGCGAGGGTGAAGAGGACTCCGACCAATAGTAGCTTGATTACTGGTTGTAGAAGAAATTACACATTCACGAATATGTATGTACTCACTCATGTGGTACGAATCAACTCTCAGTGCTGCACTCAGGTGATGATCTTAACCTTTCGGAGGGCACGACAACCATGAGAAACTGGCCGTGGCGTAGGCACCCAACGAATCAAAGTCTGATCGGGTACGATATCACGGAACGACTCAGAAAAAGGCTGGGTGACGACCGCCCACACCACAAAAAACGTGGCAGTAGACCCTGAACTCTGGCCACGTCGCGCTCTCTCTCTCCCCACAAGAGGATCAGCCTGCGCACCTTCTCGCACAACCCTTCCAAGGCAGTCCACGACACGAACGTCTCGAACGACTCGCCCAGGACATCGAACAGGAGCGCAAAGTCCCGGAGGTACGCGATGGCGAAGGTCAGGTCGTAGCCGGACTTGCCGGCGCTCGCACCACCCGACAGGGCCCCGTGAGACCGAGCGATCCTCGACACCTGCGTCGAAGTTGCACCACGGGAAGTAGCGCCGACAGTGGCAGCGCAGCAGCAAACAGACGCAGCACCAACCACCGTACAACGGAATAACTTTTTCCCACAGAACAGTCACAACGGGATAACAAGGTGATACAGGCGTTGTGGTCCTTCGGTTTGACTGGCAAACGAAACACAACAATAGATGAAAGCAAGCTCACGGTGAAGGGGCACGAAATGCCAGATGCTTGACCCCAACTACTGGACACGTTAGTATTCTGTGCATATGACAAACGAGGGGCGTGTGCCACGTCATGTCCGAGTTCCTCATGTCTGGCGGCGGTTAACCATACGTGAGTGGGTTGCGGGTCTCGAACCAACACTCGTTTGCGGCGCGGGCAAGTGCCCCACGATCTATGGCGGGTCGATAGCTCTACGCGTATGCGCCCGTCGCTCCTCCAGTGCAGTACGTCTTGTTGCAATCAAAACACGCCAAGCGTAACGCTTCCAGAACACATGAGAAAACTTACGTATGTCAGCAAACCAACCGGACGGACAATCCGCGCCCTCAAGAAGGAAGAACTACCAACGGCGGAAAGGAGTAACACAGATGTTGTAGCAAGTCTTCACACGGCCGCTTGTCGCGGATGGAACAAACCGATTAGTGACAATCAGAAAACTCGATAGAGGGCCAACCTCGGGCATCAGCAAACAACCCACCTCCCTCTTTTGCAGGGCGGCCTCTTGCCGCGAACCTTCGAACACCATGGTCACCGCTGACGTCTCCTTCAAGCCCCAGCCCTTCCAAAGCCAGATATAGGCAGATTGGGCCTTGGGGACGAGGCTCCTCACAGTGGATCTTAGCGCACCGGCTACATCGTCCTGCAGTAGGAAGAGCAGCGCGAACACCCCAAGAGCACCAAAGAACGAAATACAGGTCAGCGCCGAGGGAACAATGAGGGCCAAAATATCCTTGGGTGTCTCGCGCCTGGATAGCCTTCGTGCGGCGTGATCGCGGCTCGACAAACGCGGAACGGAAAAAAAAAAAACGTTGATAGGAGGTGTTAAGAGGGGCAAGCGGGGAACAGCGGGAAACCGGTGTTCGTAATTATTTTGACTTAGTTTCATGGCCCCATGTAAACCACTCCCGCGATTCAACAGCATGCCTAGCTTGGGGCTGATGTCAACGGCGAAAGAAACAAGCTTGAAAAGGGCCCAAGGACAAGGACAACAACAGCACATGGACGCAGGGGGGGGGGATACAATCGGCGGGAGATGTTTAAAGAAACGCCGTCAGTAACCGATGTATGGATGACAAACCAACGTTGCCGCCCTGAACCAAAAATCCCTAAGGGTATCGGGACCTACATCGAATCTCACCAAGACACAAAAAATTCAGATCAACGCGCCAAACACAGGGGTAGGTATGCAGAGGTCCGTTGACGCACCTCATCGCCCTTCATGGCCTTGCCAAGCCTCAACTGTCGGTTGTCCAAGAGACGACAGCTAGCGAGCCCAAGGCGGCCGGACCGGCGAGAAAGCTCCCGGCAAAACGCCACCCCAGTCTGATGTTCCCAAAAACAGGACATGCACATCCGAGAACATGACGCCAAACAAGGCGTGGTGAGAGGTATCATCCGGGTTGCAGGCGGTGGAAGCACTTTGAGCGAAGACGCCCAGGACGTTTGTTAAGGGGACACGGTACGAGGACACGATCACAGCGACACAACGATCATATGAAACGGCGGAACTTCCAGCGAGACGTCTAGTAAACGCCACCAATGAAAAACCCACGGACACAAGTTGGACCACACAATATCGTGCGTGAATTGCACAAATCAAAACACGACATGGCCCATAGGAACAACATTTCCAACAGGAGAAATACCGACATGATCGCGTCAGTCAGCCTTGCCACAGGTGACGACAGAACACTCTTCGAAAAAGCACTTGCCTTCATTCAAGTCGACAAAGCGGTGACATTGGGGAGGTGTGGGAGCTGGAGCTGTACTCCACCGGTTCATCTCAAACAAAAAAAGAGATGTTAGGTCCTTCTTAAGGTTACGGCACCCGGAGACGTTCGTTACCTTGAAGTCTCTGAAGAGGAAGGAGGCGTGCTCCGATACTTGCGGCAGCGGGACGACCTTGACCACGACGCTAGTGATGATTCCCAGGCAGCCTTCGCTCCCGAGCATGGCAGAAGCCAGATCCAGACCGACGGACGTCCGCGAAAAAGCGCCTGGCGCCTGGTACGGGGGATATGGACAAGTAGAAGAAACAGAGAGAGAGAGAGAGAGAGAGAGAGAGAGAGAGAGAAAGAGAGATTCTCACTTGAAGCAGGCGCCGTGATTTGGTTCGAGGTAGGGGGGATGCAACATCCCAGGCTCTGACAGCCAACGGTAAGGGTTTTACGTTCAGGCCGAAAGGGTCAGCGAGGCGTTGCCACCAGAAGCATCAAGGAGGAGGTAGGTCTCGAGTCGTGGTGGATATTCTAAGAGTAATTATCCTGCCAGGTGAAATCGTCGGCATTCAAGCATTTCAAGGGTTGAAACCCTTGACAGCGTGTTTGGAAAACGCCCTTACTTTTTTGAAACAAAAACAGCAGTGCAAGCCGTGATCATGTGACCCCGCGGCGCACGTGTCCATCCCGCTCTACATGTTTTGTTTCATCAAAACACAGCAGTCGCAGGCCTAAACGCTGTTTTTCGTCCACACCACGAGACACAACGTGCTGCAGTTGCACAACCGGTGCAACTCTCAAGACACGAGACCGTAAACAAGGCCCTCCCAAGAACCCAAGCTGCACGATTAGACCTCACTTTTGGCTGGTCGCTAGCCCTGTCGGAGTGCTGCCAAGCGAGGCCTTTACCAGTCACCACCCGGACCTCGAGCACCATGTCCTCGATGTTGCCGTACCTGGAAGTCCGCATCACGTACGAGTGCGTATCTGTGTCACAGTCCACTGATTTCAAAATGCAGCGTGGAACAACCCCCTTTCATGTGTCAAAAGGAAGGTGGGAGATGCACAGGGTAGGCGAATACCATCTGGACAGTCAACGTTGGCGCAGACAAAATGGGGACCGAACGATTACGTTCTTCAAAATCCCTGCAACCACGCGAAATCGTCATCCTGAGCAATCCAAACATACGTTCCCTACAACCTCCGGAAATCGCCACCTTTTGATAGTACACAAGGTGGGAAATGCACGAGTTAGACGAACACCGTCTCAACAGCTCGTTAGCGCACAATATTGGGGACCTACCTATCACGCGCCCCGCCCAAAATCGCCATCCTAAACAACCAAGAACGCATTCCATGATCCCTCCAGAACCGGCCGTCCTTTGATGTAGGAAATTAATCATCGGGAACGTATCCATAAACGTTGTCCGATATCGAATGAAAGAGAAACAAAAACGAAGAAGGAAATAGCTTGCGCATGGAGAGCGAAGGAAACTTGGAGACCCAATAGGTTTCATCGCGGGACAGGCTGTCCTTGATGATGATTCCCATGCCGACTAGTCCCTCGTGTTCGTGAACGCACAAATCTCCAAGCACGTATCTCACAAGTTCCCGTAACACTCGGAACGGTATGAGAGACCGGCTCGTTCAACGACACCCGGGAAAAATGTCCGTATCTCAGAAGTAACATGTCCTTGCAGGCTCGACACAGCAAACAAGCCGTTTTTACCCACCGTCCCCTCTTCATGCCCGAAGCCCGAGTGGCTACCCAGCCTCCCAAGGTGGAGAACTCCAGGCTGTCCGGCTCGTGGCCCATCGTGACGCCTCTCTCGGCCAACTCCGCGGCCAGCTTCCTTCCCACCACTCCGGCTTGGATGTGTGCAGTGCCGTTGGCGACGTCCACATCAAGCACGCGGTCCATCTGGGGTGGGTGGATGGGGAGTGCGGAGACGGAACGTGGGTGAGAAAACGAGAACCGTCGTATGTGGTACAGTAGTACTGCGGGAAGAGAAAACCGTGACACGTGACAGCATGCCGAACGAGTGCAGCGCATGTCGAATGGAGAGACAAGGGGTGTTTCGTGTTTAGCGTGTGAGGAGCAACGCTGTTTAGAGCACGTTTGTGGTACCGAATGTGTACCGAATGCACGAATATGTCAACTGCAGAACTGACCAAGTCGGGGCGATGGTGTGGTATGGGGAACCAGAAACGTGGAGCGAAACTTATCTCACCGCGTGATGCGACTATCCGTGACAGCGGCGAAACACAATGTGCACTTCCGATGAACATTGAAATGGGAGCACGATGTGCGAGGGTCTCTGGTCTCGCGCTATAACTCAGAAGAGTCTTTCTCGCGCTTTCCGGTGAACCCTGGCTAATTCACGACGAGAAATCAAACTGACAAGGTTGACAGTTGACAGACGCCGAAGGCGAGGCGGGCAACCGAAAGAGATGAGCAGCACCAACTGCACCAAGAAGCCAACAAAAATAGAGAAAAAAACTAAGGATTGCGGATGTGCTTGCCTTGCGCATGTCGACGCTGACCACCGGGCGAGGCTCAACGTCAAGGGGAGGCACCTCGAGCGCTCTCGTGACGTTAGTGCCGCCGCCGAAGGGGATGAGGCAGACGCCCTCCGCTCCTGCCCACTCCATCAGGCGCGATACCTGGACCAAGTAGAAAGAAGATGCGGAGGCTTATGGGGGAGAATGAAGACGACGGTATCATCCAGACAGTAGTTGGGGACAACGACCACCATTCCTGGGGGGTGGAAGCTTGCAACTAGTCGCTACCATTGACGCGTACGTAGTGGTCGGGGAGCTTATAGTTGGAATCATCTCGAAACCCTACGTTGAGGCTCAGCGACGCGCTTCGAACGGGCGAAGTCAACCTTGTCATGAGCCATCCTGGATCTGAACGAAACGCCTCACGATCCCATCAACACCGAGAAAAGCTTCGTTGAGGGGAGCATGCAGGGATAGGCAGGGCGGGGGTGGGTATCTTGGCATTTTGAGGATCCTGGTATTCTTGACAAGGCTTGAGCCACCGCCACGCTAGCGATCATCCTCTTGCTGCAATACGATACGATCGAGTGGAGTCTCGATACCCGGCAAGTCTACCTGGTATTCAGAGGTCGGCCACATGACCGCATCGGGTGAACGGCGCATCTTCCCCGACCGAAGCGACCAAATGTCCGAGAGGCCGTGCCCCGCGCCGTGCCTCGCTCGCTCTTGCCTTGACAACGAGACCTGGGTCAAGGAAGCCGGTGCACAAAACATGAGTCAGTCACCCAAGTGAGAAAGGAATACAGAAGATCAAGACCCAACAGGGTCGATTTCCCCAGAGCGAGGGCAACTTTGGTGGCGGTGCCCTTACAGTCGCACACTGTGGGCGGTGGGCGAACTCGAAAATAGCGACTGCAGCAGCGCTCGGAGCGAGTGCCGAACGTCCACTGTGGCCAAGGCTTGGAGGTCTTGTACAAGAGTAACATGAATCTGCGTGCCTTCGGACAGAAAACAACCAAACGAAAAATCGAAAACGAAATACACAAGGCGTCTGACTGACGTCAAAGAACGATTACTTCACGACACATGCGTCACACTTTTCCAGAAACGTAGGAGTATCGAACCTGGTCTTTGACGTCAAACCCGAGCCCCAGCGCTTCCACCATAGACTCAAGAAGGGTTCGTGTCTGTTGCCCTGCTCCCGTTCCAGCACTCTCGTGAACCCGCCCCCCTCCCGCACAATCCCCTTTCCCGCCGCTTCCAACATCCGGAGCGGGTTCAGTTGCGCCGCGCCCAACGTCCAAGGACGAGGGTTTCGGTTTCAGCAGGCGGGAGGGTGGGAGGGAAGGAGGGGGGGGGCTGGCGGCTCGCCTAGCTCTACCCTCCGCGGAGATGGGCACGCCGATGGCCTCTCGAACGAATGGCAGCAAGCCTCGCAGGGGTCGTCCGCAGATGCCATACCTGTATGAACAGAGAACGGGGGCGTCACGTGTACGATCCTGTGTTGCTCGGATAAATCGCAATTGATTTTGTATCTGGGTGGACGGGAGCGGCCCGCCGCCAGCGAACGGACGATGTTTCCCTGCTTACACAGAGTGTGTGAAGCTAAGTGTTTGTGGAAAGCTATTGGAAAGCATTCGAGACGAAGCGACAAGGGCATCCACATCTCGAGAAACACAAGTACCAGAACGCTTGCGCACGACCACACGATCCTAGCGTGCACACCGTGGGACCCCCTAGTTTCCGGAAACACAAAAAAGACGGGGAGGCACAATCAGAACCCGCACGATAGATGGCCCAATCCTCCATCAGATTCGTTCTGACAAGCGAGGGTACAGCCTGTCAACTTTCGGTGTAACGCCTGCTTTGCTGGTTCGGCAGTATGTAGTACGCCACTGGCTTTCTCTCGTTCTAGGTCAACAAGACCTTATTCGTCACCCCCGTCACACTCGAAGCGAGCGGCTTCTATCTTCGAACAACAAACAAAAAACGCGAAGGAACCCTGATACACCAGCCGCAACGCCTACACCCATAACCATCGACGAGACCACAACGAACTTCGCAAACAAACAAATAACGACCAGCGCTCAACTGAAACGTCCGACCAAGCCTAACCTAGCATCCATGCTGACCTGTTCCCTCGCATCACCACGAACGGGTTCGCCCCATCCGACCGGTCGGACTCTATGCAGAAGCCTGAATCACGGAACCCCCAGGAGCCTACCGCTTCCTTATCGCCGTCCACGGCGCCGAACCAGTCATCGTCGTCTTCCACAGCAGTAGTGGGTTCGTGTTGGCCACCGCCACCGCCACGGACACTCCGCCGTGAAACCGAGAGGGACTCCGCCGCAGCCACAGCCGCAGCCGCCGCCGAGGAGGTCTTGAAGCCGGCCTCGGAATCGTCGTCAGTGGCGGCGAAATTGGTCCCGTTTCCTCCGGCATTGTTTCCCCGGGGATCGTCCCCGCCACGACCAAGAGACAGCGCGACAGAGGCGAGGAACAAGGATGGGGCGCCGCGGACAGCGCCACCACATCCCCGCACCCCCAAGCGCGCCCCCTCTTCGTCGTCGCTTGAGCCTGAGCCCTGCTCCCCTCGCCACGGTCCGCCTTCGTTCGCCTTTCTCACGAGGACCTGCAGCACATGGCCGGGGCTGGGTCGAGAGAATCCCCTCTCGACTAACGCCGCCCGTGCTTCCGCCACGGCGCTTTCCGCGCGGTCGAACTCGCGCAAGACAGCTGCCAGCACGCGTCGCGAAGCGACAGAAGAGGACCGAGCAGCTTCTTCTTGGTTTTCGCCGTCGCCATCGTCGTCATCGTTTCGCCTCGAGTAGCTGGCTCGACTACCATCGCCATCGCCATGGCCATGGCCATGGCCGTCGTCGACCGATGGTGTTGTTTCGAGCGGCGAAGTTGCTGTTTCCTCGGACGGCGTGATTTCGAACGAAGAAGGGGACGAGGCGGCGGTTGCTGCCGTGCAGGGCGTTGCTCCATCATCGTCCAGAGACGACGTCAGCTCAAAAGACGACGGTGTAGAGGACGACGAGCATGACGACGTTGACGCGCCGGTCGCCATCACCCACGACGGGGAGCAAGATCCCGAAGAAGATTCGGTCAAACGCGGCGAGTTCCGCGCTGTCTCAGCGACGGCGGCAGCGGCGGTGTCGCCGACAACGCCGGCGTCGGCGTCAGCTCCGCCGTTAGCGGTGCTATCACTCAGCCAAAGAGTCGAAGGCTGTCGAAGAATGATGTCCTTCTCATTCTCCTCGCGTCCCGCAGCAAGCCTCGCTGCGGAATCTGCGGTCAAAGCTGCAGCATTAGAACACGGCGGTAGCTGCGGCACGAGCCACTCTGCCCACCTCGACCAACTTCGACTTCTGCTGCCGCCGCCGCCGCCGCCGCCGTTGCCATCTCCACGCCCATGACCCCTCAGCCTGTCGTGCAAGAGATGCACCCATTGCAGGTGGTTCATCCACGCCTCCATATCGTCGGAGGCGGGGGTTGCGGAGGAAACAAACCGCTCGACCGTCGGCACGTCGCTGGCATAGCGCGATGTTGGTAACGGTTGTGGGTTGGCGATGGGGTACGCCTTCACTGACCTCTGCTGATGGAAGAAGCGATGTGCCAAAATGTCACACCGCGAGGTGGCAAAGGGGGGAGCAGAGTAAGGAAGGTTGGGCATCACGAGTTTAGTCTCGTGTGTTCATCAAGTGGATGAAGCGCCCGAAAAAAATGAGGTTGGGGGATAGCCGTTCATCCATCATTTGCTCACACGTTCAAGCCCTATGTGGAGGTGGTGAGCGAGCGAGGCGGTGGGAGGGGCTAGAGGCTCGCGCGCCCGGGTGCGGTCGCACTGAATAATACCACCGTTTTGGCGTTTATGTTGGCGGGTGCAGCTATCCGTGAGCCCTCGAATCCGTCGGGGGTCCGTGGTGTCGCACATGAAGGAATATGGTCCTAAAGGATTAAGAGGATCGGAATCTACGCTTGGAAAAGGCACTCATTACCGCTCGACCACGTTCCAATGCAAGGCTACGACCACAGATGGCATTCCGCTGCTGCCTAACACTGGTGTGCGCGTCTTGGGTGTCGCGGCCGGATCGCGTCCCAATCTCACCTTCCCATTTCTTTGGACCAAGAGACCACGACAACAGCTATGGCAAAACCGAACAATGGAATCTACACTCAAAATGCCAGCGTTTCAGCCTTCATCCCGGGGAAACGCAACACAAAAATATCGAAGTGACCTCCATAACGGACGCGGGAACCAATCAGATTGCAAGCAGTTAAACGGACGACTCACTTCACCAACCCCGCCGTCCACGTCCCCTTCCCACACAGTCCCGCCCAGCTCGTGGATGCACTCTCGAACGTCACCCTCTTCCAACCCGAGGTGCTCGCTCGCCTCCCGGAGGTGGTAGGGGGTGACCACGGTGCCTGACCGGTGCCGACGCCGCACCTGGGTGATTTCGTCACGCATAGGCATACGAGGTACGCGGTCGGAAAGGTGGGGTCAGCAAGACAGGAGACCTGCCGTACGTGGGGCACACGGGGGCGACAAGTCCAAAACCTGTGTAGGGTGACGCACACATCGCTCGAGAGTTGGAATTCGAAATGGTGCAACGAGATTTCTGAGTTCCTTCAAGACCAAGTGAGTACAGACAGTGAAGCGAGGAAAAGAGTAAAGGCTACGACACGCAACAAGAGCACCGAACAACACCAGCTGAGTCCCTGGCGACGTTTGGTTCTGGTTCCCGGAAAGCTATGCATACGATGCCGAATAAGCAAAAGGCGACACCAGATGTGCGTCTGATGGGTGAGGCCGTCATGATCAGCGCAGCGTTGGTGAAAACAGACCCAAGCCGGCAAAATGACAGACGCAATCCAAGAGGCCGACTGACTGCACCGGTCAGGTCAGCAGGTCATCAGGCCAAAGAGAGATCAAAACGACGTAGATGTAGAACATTGCCGGCATTGTCGTAAAAACGCCTACATACAATCGTCAAACAGTGTCCCAGCACAACTCTAGGGCCCTGAGCCCGTCACGGCACCCTCGGGACGTCTGGGTGTTCATCCGAACAAGCGAAAATGGTAGGGAGTAGGACACAGCAGCATACAGTATATGTCACAGTAAAACCCACGAGAAGAGGCAGGAAAGGCCAAAGTGAAAGGCGTGGCGGAAGCTCTCCATTTCCCTGCACACAGCGTGGGTGCTCGTACATAAAGAACTCGTACATTCAACGGGCAGTGTATACAAGATGGCTAGCTCGCATGTCTTGGACCCCTTGGTGGTATAGATGCAGGCTTCTCTCCAACACTGCCGCCATATACCATATACAGTACTGGGCCCTCTATAGTGCAGGTTGAATAGTGCAGGTGCCCGGTATAGTGCAGGTGAAATCTCTGGACAAAGACAGCGCCGTCAACAGGGCAGGACCTGCACCATTGAGGGCAGTCCCGCTATAGTGCAGGTTGAGCACCGCGGTGCCCCGCAATAGTGCAGATTGGACACACACACAAACGATAGTGAGAACGATGGAGTTGGAAGGAGGATGGCGGTGACACTCCAAAACGAGCTAGAGTGCAAGGTAGCAGCCTTCATCGACACGTACGTGCAAATCTGCTGTGGCTACCGTTTCTGTCTTCAACCCGTAAATAGTTTAGCCTCCCCCAAGCCGCCCCTCATGGCGTCCCAGTAAGACTAGTCTAGAATTGTTTTATTTTTTCAATCGCATTGACTGACGTATTTTCATTGGTCAGCCGGTTAGCGAGGTCGATGCTAGTAAAAAAACACACACACGGATAAGACAGCGGACAGACGCAACACAGAAACCAGGGTACACGTGCTGCTGCAGACCCGAAAGCTCACGCAGGGACGCAACAAGCCTTGTGCGGACGGTGAACTGTGCCGCCGTCAAGAAGCAGAACGCCGCAAGCCCCTCATGGCCCCGTCTGCAAGGGAGGGTGTGGCGGACGGCTCCACGGCAATTGCGGCAGCATGTTTGAGGACGACAAAAAGCACCGCATCTGCAGCAAGTGCGTCGCCAAGGCTGGCAAGCGCAATGCGACACCAGCTGAGGGTGCTGGGGCGGGACCATCCATCTAAACGCACGCCCGAAGAAAACAAAGGCGGGGAGTAAGAAGGGATCTGGTTCTCGTGCGCGGCCAGACAACACGAAGCTTGAGATTCTCAATTTGATGGAAGCGTCAGGCAGACATGAGAGAATTTTTCGCGACGTAGTGAGGGCGGGGTTACATAGTCTACCGCTGTAGCAGTAGTGGTTGTTTTCTTGTAGTGCGGTTCCTGGCGTGTTTTTTTTTTTTATCTTGAAAAAATCGAACGAGGGCGGCGAGGACTGAGACATAGCTTCGTCCACTAAGTATAAATGTTGAAGGATTGATTCATGCGACAGTTCACGGTGTGCAGTAGTACGAGTGCTGAGATAAGAAGAAAGTAACGATTCAACTTGCAAGTAATTTTTCTACATGTCTGTGTGTGCGACAGGGGGGAGCCACACGGGTCGCGGGACAGCCTGCCCACACCCACGCTAGAACAGGGCCCAGCACTGCGGTAATTCGATCAATTTCGTACTCTGTTAGCCCCGCGACGCATGAGCGCTACACCATGAAATCAAGCATCTCCTCAATAGTGCCGTACCTGTACTATTGAGGTATAATATACTCAAAAGCCTCAATAGCGCCGAACCTGCATTATTGACGCACTATTCTGAATAGTGCAGGTGCCCGCTGTAGTGCAGGTAAAATTTCTGGACACACCCCTGCACTATAGAGGGCCCAGTGATGTACCATATACCATATAAGAGAGGCATGCACTTCACCGCTGCTGTTGCTGGCTTTCCGCTCAAGACCAAAAAAGGTACTTCACACTGTCATTGGTGCCAAACAACTAGCACAAATTCACCTCGAGAAGGGCGGCCCTGACATCCCCCCCGGAGTTCAGCGCCACCGGATCTCCCGCTCGCATCAAGACCTTGCCCAATCGCACCCGACCGGACAGGGCTTTCATCGTCCACCTGAATAATCATCACCATCATTATCATCATCCCCATCAGCATCAGCATCAGCATCATGCGACGAAGCGAATCACGTCGAGTTCCACAGAACAGTGTCAAATCAATTCGCCCAAGACGAGATATTGAAGAGTCGGCGAACCACATCACCCATCACAGAAGCACGTCTAAAAGTCCTGCACACGCGAGACTTCACAGGTCGCCAAGGGTTGTTTCTAACGTAGTCGCAGCGGCCGATTCGATAGAGGGAGCCAACCTGTTAGATTTACTGCATATATTTGCACCGGTTGGTGTTTTTCGGGCATGGTTCCGTCGGAGATCCGCGTCACCCTGCAAAACGTCAGAGGGGTGACAGTGAGTGTTGTGTTCTGAGATGGAGTACCAGGCCACGCGATCCATCCATATGCTTCAACTCGAATCGACGCTACGCCAACTAGAAAACGGTCACGTTTGAAAGACGATTGAACGTGTTCCAATCCAGTTAATCGGAAAATGATTCTGCAGGAAGATTCTCAACTGTGTGGTACAATACACAGCATGCCAACAACGCATGTCTTTGTTCTTAACCGCGCTTCTGATGTCCTTGAACCAACACTACAGTACGGTAGCACCGTCTCCTACGAGCTAGTCAAAATCAGCAACACGTTCGTAACCGCTGTTGGATATCTTCTGCCCCTTCGTTCGTTCGGAAGAAATTTGCAAATTCACTCCTTCTGCATGAAGAAGATGTGCGAAATCAGGCAATCTCCGCTCTCTATCACCGATATCTCTACACGCGGTCTCTTCCCAACGGTTTCGTCACATGAGCGCGTTCAGGTCGCATAAAAATGCGTTCTGGCCCTGAGCGAGTGCAAAAATAGTCACAACTGCACTCACGCATTCCGTTCCCTGTCCCTCTCACCTCAACAGTCCCGTCAGACCGACCGCCCCCACGGTGTGCTGACCGCGCGCCGGAGCCCCCCCCTCTCCCGCTTCTCGAGAGCAACCCCTGGCCAACAGCTCCTCCGCTAGTCTTCCCTGCTCCGGTACCCGCTCGTAGCTGATCGACACAGGCACCAGCCAAAGCGTCGCGCCCTCCCGTGCTCCCTGGACCGGAAATACGGCAGCGATAACGGGGGGGCGTACTGATGTTATTGCATGCGTTAGGTGTTACATAGACCGTTGACCGCGCGGCCTCGAGAAGATGGAACAGAGAACGGGGGTGGGGGGGGCGGTACAACAATTGGGAAGATAGTTGGGATGGGTGTGTTCGAAACAGTACGGTCGTCAGCATCCCCGTGCGTGGTACGTGTATGTAACGTCATCTCGTTTAGGCCCGCTTCAGGGCACCCATCTCGTCACCGTTGGTAGCCATACGCAGCAACACGAATACAATTCATCACACCAACCGTAGATGCCTTCAACGGGATCCACGTACATCACATCACGGGCTGAAAAAAAAAAAATACACCGAGACCGTCAAAGGTTTACGTCTGCTGCACAGCCAGGTTTTCGGCAAGACTCTACAACTGACCGGTACGTTAGATTTGAAAAAGATTGCCAACACCTCCAATGGAAAAGTTTCCAGTGAACGGAGGCGAAGTTGGGCGATCGAGATCGAACCCCAGGCGGCATCGCTGACAGTGGGTACTGCACAAACACACACAAGAAAAAAACAACTACCGCAACCACAACAATTTCACATGCACGGAACGTGGGTGCCAACCTGAAGAGCTCGGATCAACCCCGTCTTTGGAGCCAGAAACCGCCTGTCCCGGCTGCGTGTCCCCTCCACGAATACCTCCAAGGTCTCCAGCCCCCTCTGGCAGGGGTCGGACTCGCAGGGGCCCGGCCAGCGTCCACCAGCTCCACCCCCGCCCCCGTCCGCGGACCCCCCACCGTTGCCATCAGACGCTGCTTGGGGATGATGGCCTGGGATGCGCTCATTACCGCTCGTGCATCGAGAGTCACCTGCCTCGTCTCGGGTCGCTGCCGCGCCGTCACACACGATGCCCTGCTCTCCCGAAGGAACTTTCTGGGAAGTTTCTCGTTTGCCCCTGGGAATTTCATGTAGTGCCTCGAGGCGCCGCCGGAGGTCAGAGTGCGGCTCACTGTTGTGCCCCCTCCGAATGAAAAATGCTCCTGGTTTCGTGGCGGCAAAATCCAGACGCGACGAGAGTATTATTCCCACACAGCAGTCAACGAGTGAGCTGGAGTTTTTGGACTGTGAATTGATTCCGCAGATCGTCATGTGTACAGCACGGAAAAGAGGACAAAACGAGGACCCCCCCTAAAAAAATGGACGATCCGAGCACATTCTCTCAAGGACGACACCTTTTCTACCTCGAATCACCAAATACCGACCCCCGGAGTCCAACCTCGACACCATCATCGCTCACCTAACTTCCCCATGAGCCACCTCAGCGGCGTACCCTCCTTGCCGAAGGGCCCGTCCGCCGCCGCCACCTTCGGCACCCTGAGCCAGGACAGCCCCGGGAAGGACCGCATGGAGGCGCAGAAGAGAGACACCAGCACGAAGTCGAGATACGAGCGGTGAGTAGGCAGCAAGACAACCACCACCTTCCCGGCCCCTTCTCCTTCTTCTCCTCTTCCCGCCCCTGCGCGCCCTCCGCACCCGCCGGCTCGCCAGCCGTCCCCACCGTCAGCACCGGCCGCAGCGGCAGTAGCAGCACTCTTCTCGCCGCGGCCGCCGCCGCCGCCGCCGCCGCCGATGTAACCACCGTCGCTACCACCCCCGCCGCCCGCCGCCTCGCCGTCAACACTGGGCGCCGTCGCCGCGCCGTCTTCTTTGACACCGTCGCCTCCCACGGACCTCCCCCGGCTTGCGCCGTCCGCCCCAACACCGTACCCGGGGGGCGCGGCCTCGCGGAACGAGTCCACGTCTACGGCGACCGCCGAAGCGGCACGGGACATGACCACTCGGACGGCGAACGCCACCAGTCGCACCCAGAGAGTGACCCCTCCTCGCGCCGCGGACCCTGGGAGGGTGGCCGCCCACCACGCTAGGGCAGGCCACGGCACGAGGCGGTCCGCCCTGCCGCAGAGCACGCTGAGCGACCGCCGCCGCCGCCGCCTCGTGAGCCGGTCGCCGGCACCAGGGACTTCGTCATCGCTGTTTTTCTTCGCGGTGACACCATTCGTCATCGTCATCGTCATCGCTGTTTCAATATCGTCGCCGTTGTGGCCGAGGGGACGCCCACCGCCGCCGCCGCCGCCGCCGCCGTGTTCTTCTCCGACGGCGACGCGGTTACCCTCAGGGGCGCCACCGGCTCGCAGGCTGGTTCTGGTGTCGTCGCCGCGGCCGCCGCACCGAAGACCGCCGGACCGGTGGGTGCGTATTTGCAAGCCCAGCTCTCTGAGGATCGACTGCCGGCGTTCGGGACTCGCCTTTGCCCCTTCTTCGGCGCCCCCGGGTCTGGGAACACCGCACGCGGGGGGTGCGAGGAGAACAAGAGGCCAGACGCAAGGAGCAACAGCAAGCAATCGATGACAACATGCGCGAACGAAGAGCAAGCGTCACCCTTGGTATGGTCAACATGCATTCGAAAAACAAAAACATGGACAATTTCATCGTATCGCAGCGATCGGCGTAGAGAGGGGGGAGACGGAGATCGACTGTGGTCGAAAGGCGGAAGGATTGAAAGGGTGCCGCGACGGCAGGGCTGAAACAAGGTGAACTGTTCCCAACGCACGACCGCGCATCATGCAAACCAAAACACAGAAATGCCGCGCCAGGAGGACAACAGCAACAGCAACAACTACATAGGAGCGTCATGGTGCACCATTTCGGTTGTATCCATCCCTGCCAGGGCAGGTTACAGGAGCCTCGGGGAGATGGATCGTTTCCTATCCGTGTGGCTCCACCTCGGAACGAGTGCAATACATGTCAGTGGCAGAAACAGAGGTACGAAGAACAAGAGGTATGACCGTGCACGGTCACAATGGAGGTGGGGCAAAACAAAAAAAAAACGCCGGCAGGAGTAGTGTCGAACCGATCCGTTTAACACGTACCACACTACCACGCGACACCCCATGGTTAGTCACTCACAGGCTCCGTTGCAGTAGCTCGGAGGCCAGGGCCGTTTCCAGCGCATACCCGGCAGGCTTCAGCCCCTCGGGAACCCTTAGCGCCGAGTCGAAGAAGTACACCTGCCACGTGAACGTCTCGTACACGGACGGCAAGGCGGCCAGCTTGTCGAGCCTTCTCAACGTCGCGGAAATTCCTGGGCGTCGCCGCCCACCTCTGCCACGGCCACCGCCGCCGCCGCCGCCGCCGCCGTGTCTGTGACCGCTGCTGCCGCCGAAGACGCCAACCCGCTCGGCCAGGGCAGCGAGGCCCTGCAGCGCCCACACCGGCGACCGGTCGAGCAGCAAGTGCATGGCGTCGAACGCCAGCCGCGGCAGAGACGGTTTCAACCCTCCTCCCCGAAGGTGTAGGAGCCCCGCTTCACCCCTCCCCTGTAAACCCCCGTCGCCGGCGGTCGGAGGATTGCCCCGTCGGCCTTCACCGCTTCCTCCTGACGGCGACGGCGGGTACGGCGACTGCGGGCACGACGGTGACGATGACCACCGGCCGCCGCTTGTATCACCGCTGTGGGCGACGCACGGTGTCCCGGGCGGCGTCGCTGGCGGCGGCGACACCGACGCCGCGGCGAAGGAGGATCTCATCGCCAGGGCTTCCAAGGAAGGCCGCATGCCACGGAGGACGGCGTAGTCGTACAGCAGCCCCGAAATCTCTCGAAACGACGGCATCCTCCCTTCCCGCGCACCGCTCCCGACAGCAGCCGTGCACTCAGCAGCCCGTCCGGCAACCACGTCCGCCATGCCGCCACCCTCTTGCGCAACACCACCACCGCAGACTGCCGGGTCGCGCTTCCGAGCAACGATCGCGCTGCTATCGCCAAGCCCGAGGACAGGGTGCGTCGCCCACGCTAAATTCCTGATTACCACGTCTGGACGAGATTCTGCCGCGGGCGACCCGGGGATGTCCGGGATCGCCGCCATGATATTCGCGGCGGCGGCGGCGGCGGCGGGAGAGGAGGATGTTAGGGGCCCTCCCCAGCCAAGCGCGCTGTGGACGATCGCGCGGCTGACGACATCGACTGGGATGATCGGGGCCGGGTGCGGGCCTAGCCGGAAGGTCTTGACAGCTCTCTGGAGAACCAGCACTTGGCAGCCTGTAGGAGGAAGCATATACGCACACGTCAGGCCGCGGGCACTGTCAGCGAACGTGGAACTTATCAACTTGAGGCCGGTGGAAAGTTGCTTCCCGGCGGAACTCATGTCATATTTATTTATCCCCCTGGGGGGGGGGGG